CCCCCCCCCCCTGCTTACTCCAGTTTCCTGCCTGTGTCTTCCCCTGACAACATCCCAGTGATGTAATCCATGTTCTCTTTCCTCTCAAAATAAAAATAAAGATGGCAGACCTGCAGCTTCACAAGCTGGATGAGCTGGACTGTTTGATCCGGGGGGTGTTGTACATCGACTCGGTGGTGTCCGGCGGTCCCTCGGAGTGCTACTACTTTGAAAACCCCACAGACCCAGATCGTTGCATCCAGAAGCCCTACACACTGGAGAACCCCTATCCCCTGCTGCTGGTCAACATAGGGTCTGGGGTCAGCATCCTGGCTGTCTACTCTGAGAGCAACTACAAACGAGTTACAGGGACCAGGTAATTATCGGTGATGGAGATCTACTGTCCATTATTGGGATTATGGAGTCATTTTACAGTTCTTGAAGTAACGTACGGTGTGAAAATGTGCTTTTAGGGAGTTGTAGTTGAGTGAAATATGATGAAATTATACATTATTTTGTGCTCATCATGCATTAATGCAAATCAACAGGTTTTCCTACTTCCTGCCTTCCATCATATTTTATAAACTCGTTCATGATAAAACTTCAGACTATCATAAAGTGCATATTTTAATGCAAATGATTATTAACTTGACTAGAGCTGCAACGATTAATCAAGTAATTGATTCGTTGATCAACTTAACATCGACAATGTGCAACTATTTTGGTAATTGCTGCGTCTTGTAAGTCATTGATGGTCAAACATTTGATGGGTCTGGTCTGAAAGGGGAGGTACTGTCTTGTTGTCTTCACGTTCAACATATTATGTTAAACTGAAGGGAAATACCGTCTGAATTTAATAAAATGTTTTACCCATTTTGCTACTTGGTAAATGTTATGAAGCATATATATATAATTTTATGTTCATGGTGAGCTGGCCTTCATCTGACAGTGTGACAGATTTAAAGAATGCCAATTAAGTAAAGAAAGAGCAAAAGAAAACGAGAACTCGTCAAGTTGCAGCATCACACATTTTAATAGATTCTTTAATATTTAATTTATATATTTATTTCCTTCGCGGCTGATACCGGGTTAAAATGATGCAGGATTTCACATCCCAGTAGGTGGCTTGTTAGGTGATGTCTGCCCTCCGTGTCTCCCTAATGCCTGCGTGTGAAAAGCAGCCGCACGGTTTGGTTTTTTTTAGGCTGTTACCAAAACCACCTCCTTTACCCGACCGTTTGGTTGTGAGTTGAAGCAAAATGTGTTCTTTGTTAAGTTTGGGATTTGTGGATTAAAATCTGTTAGTTAACTGTCGGTTCCCTTCCCCCCCCTCCTCCTCCTCTTCCTCTCTCATCCACCTGGTTTGTTTTTCACCGTGTGGTTTCTCTGTCTGTGGCCTTGAATGGGAAACTCATGAATGCTTAGTTCTCCTTCAACATAAGGTGCTTTGTGCTGAGAAAGAAAACACAAGATGAGTGTGTTTTGAATCAGGATCGTATAATGTACGACCACCTTTTTTGAAGAGGGTCAGTTGTAACTCTGTTTGCCCTCAATTTTAAGAACTCCAGGTGAGACTGTTAAAATCCTTACCTCAGCCAAGCCAGGCACTTATTCTTCTCAGACTGATGTAGTTTGCATTGTTCTATGACGTTTGTTAATCTTTTCGTTGATATGTGGTGTTTTTAGCGAGCTTGTGGAGTGGAAAGCTGGCGATACCTTGGCGTCTCTCATGTTGTTCTGCTGACAAGCCCGCCTCCATACTTTCGAACAACACGAACCCTAAGCAATTAATGTGCCCTCTCAAAGGCGGCAGGGGAGGCACCCGTGAGTCGGAATCTCACCACGCCAATGGTTCGGGACATTTATGGAGGAGGACTATAGAGAGTTTTGCTTGCCAGGCTGGCTGGTACCTCAAAAAGTGCGGTTTACAGCAAGCTTTTTTTTCCACTGTAGGTCACCAGCCTGTATTTAATGAAACAGGAACGGGACGGTTGCTAAATTTAACCATCCCAGGCGATGAAAATAAGAAGCCTTGATATCTTTTTTTTTTTTTTTTTTATGCACTGATGAAATCATGCTTTCTGGGTTACCCTGTTGAGCGTAACATTGCTCACTTCGAAGTACTTCTTCCTCTAATATGACTCGTTGTGTTTTGATAGTTTTGGCAACATGATGTCCAAAGAGAAGAGGGATCGGTGTCCAAAGAGGACCTGGCAGGCAACACTGTCACCATAACCAATAACATCGGCTCCATCACCAGAATGTGTGCTCTCAATGAGGTTGGTAACGAGTGGGGATGGTGGAATTAATTGAGTATTTTATTGGCATCTGTGTTTCACTGGCAAAAAGGGTCAAAGATGGATGTCAAGACACAAAAGAGAGGAAATGTTTTCTCGCTCAGTGCTTAGACTTTTTTTTACATTAATGCCAGTCCGTGGAATGATCCGTTCTCCACCGGTGTCCCTTGCTGGCCGTTGCCCCTCTTTGGCGTTCAGGCCTCTTACGGTGCTGCCCTTGTGGCGTCTGATCAAGCAGCATTGTACAGGGCTATGAAGGCGTCGAGGAGGTAAGCTGCATTATCCACGCGTCTCTCACCGCTCAAAGCAGGAGGTGTTCAACTCGATGTGTTTTTTAAAATTTATTTAGAAGTAGTCAGATTAGTTATAAATACACAGCTTTAATCAGTATCAAATGATTTATAGTTTTTACATTTAAAATGTAAAAAATGTTGACCAAAATGAAGTACAAAATAATACGTTAGATAATTAAAATGAATAAAATGTAATGAAAATGTAAGTATATTAGAGAGAATTACATTTAATAAAGGCTGAACGGTATTATGTCAATATGATGTATTAGTTGATAGATGTTATTACTCACACTACCTTTAGGACCGTGACATGTAGGCACTTCATTGTGTAAAATGTCCGAATATACTTCTATTACTACAACTATTACTATCTGTGTCGTCACGGTGATGAGTAGTATCATATAAAAGTAAATAAATATGATTATAAATAAGTAATATCAGTAGACATTAAAGGAGAACGTCTTACAACTGCCTCAACAGATTTACCAGCTGTGGAAAAAGCCACAGTTTGAAAATGTATCAGTTGTATTTATACTGTTCTGTTCTGTACTGATAATAAATGTACCTATTAATTAAACTAATTATTTAATCTTCATTCTCTTTCATTACTAAGAACATAGAGAGAGTGGTGTTTGTGGGCAACTTCCTCAGAGTGAACACTCTCTCTATGAAGCTTCTGGCCTACGCCATGGACTACTGGTCTAAAGGACAGCTCAAGGCACTCTTCCTTCAACATGAGGTAAATAACTCGACCCCATATTGACCTCAGAGACCAAAAATGTAGTTTTGTGCTTTGATGGTCTCTGATTTCTAACTCTTAAGTTCTTGTGTTTTTGTTTTTTTTAGGGTTACTTCGGAGCAGTTGGCGCCTTGTTAGAGCTTCTGCATCCATCCTAATCCATCCGAAAACTACATCCAAAGAAGTACTTGTCAATCTGCTGCAAAGACCTTTAGCACTTTAGACTGTTCAGTTAATTCCACAGTGGGATGTTATGCCAGCCACCAACCAGCCACCCAGTTACTGGTAAATTTTGGTTGTAGCAGGCAAAATGTCAACCATTTAGAGGTCCTATGTTTGTATAATGGTGGCTTCTGAGTATTAATACACTGTTGTGGTCAGTAGATAGAAGTCTGTGTCCTGCCCTGACCAAAGTTGTGTGCAGCAGAGTTGACGAAGTCATCCTCTGCAGAACTGAAGAAAGTGAGCTGGATTTTGTCTGAAACTACTTAAGGAAACTCACCACAGTTGCCTGAAATACTGTAGGTTTAAAAAGTACTTAAATAGTCTTGTGGACTGCAATTCATTCTCAGTGGGTATCAAGTCCTTTATATAGTTTATTTTATCATAATAGGTACCAGGTGGATGGGAGCCTGTTCAGTGTGTGAGCTTAACCACAGGAAGGTTTTTACTAGAAAATCATCATTCATCATTGTTTATTTGTCGAATATGTTGTTGATTAATTGTTTGGTCTATAAAATAACTAGAAATAGTTAAAAATACCCGACTTTAGCTTCCAGATCCAAAGAGGACTTTACTTTAAATCATTCTAAACCCAAAGACATTTAAGGTTCTGTCACTTAAGACAAATAAATGCAGGAAATCTTTATTGAGAAGCCGACATTTCCACAATTATCATATGAAAGTGAATTATCTGTCTAATTGACTAATCCTTTCGACTCTCCATACCTGTTCCAAATAACAACATATTGGAAATGAAATGACACTGCTTAATCCTGTAAAAGTCATGGATGATGATTGAACTCTAAATTTCAAGTACTCACTAACCGATTTAGCCGTTGATTTCAGTGCACTGGCGCGGTAGTACTCCCTATCCATCTGGTAGTCTTAGTAAGCTAAACACTGAGAATCATTTACAACCACTTAGGTGTTTTATTATCTGTGAGCATTTACTCATTGTCACCAGTTGGACTTGAAAGGAGGATGTGAATGGTAAATGGTTTTTAAACAGTTTCTGCAAAAAAAATGTTTCCTCACTGGATGTTGACTCTAAATTTCATCAGACTTATTAACTGTTACTGGTATAATTTTAAGACTGTTTCTGCCTCTGTAAATGGGAAATGTCCTGTTACAGTAGTTTTCCCACTTGAGATCTCAATGTTTGTAGAAGAACCCAATTGTTTACTCTGAGCTGCGGGAGAAATCAGGAAATCTAGACAATCAGTGTTGGGGTTAGTGAGACTGTACTGTAAAGTAATGAATTGAAGCCCCTTTCTGACCCCATAACGTCTGCCCTGCTGAAGTGCCCTTGAGCCGCTGCAACCCTTTCCCTGCAGAAAGAAAATCAGAGCAAGCAGAAAGAGATTTATAAATGTGAAGATGTAAAATAGAGGCTAAAATTAGGGCATTTGATCCCTGAAATTTTCTCCAGGTCCAAGAAAAAGGTTCTTTCTTTTTATTTAAATGCAGAAACTTGATGAATCCCTCCAATGGAGGTTTTAAGTCCTGTGACCCCAAACCATTTCTGTCTTGTTGGGCATGTTCAGTATGTACTTAAATATTGTTTTTGCTTTTGTTTGGTCAGTTTCCCCTGAAGCTTTTGTTCTTTTAATAGAAATTTAGAACTTGATTGTTTAACCCTGTGGGTGTGGGTGTGGGTGTGGGTGTGTGTGTGTGTGTGTGGTTTGTCCCATCATCATTTAATGCTTATCCGTCCTATTTTAATGTAATCTGTTTTTTAAGTGATTGATCTGTTGATGGATTACAGGGACCATAATGAATCATTAACTACCTAAGGAGGAGATTTGACTCCCAGAATAGTTGGAAATTCAGTGGACACAGTTGTTCAGCGGTCAGTTACTAGAAATAATGTATCTGCAAGTAAGTGCCTGTCATGTTTTTGTATTTAATACATAAATGTGTTCAGCAATGTGATTTTAAAATGAGACAAACTGTAATTGTCTAGGTTTCCCCTCTGTTGTTTGCTTGTAACATTTTTTTTGTAACTGAGTGGTCACAAGATTTCACTGCATCGTCCCTATTAAACAAACGTTTCATATCTTTGTGACTTCTTTCTTTGTTGCATTTTATGGGAGACCTTTAAGGTTATAGTTGAACATTTGGGGAAATACTTAAGTTGCTTAATTTCTCTTTCAACAGTCGGCTGTCTTCAAGTAGAACTTCTAGGCAAGAAAGCGAGCAAGCATGTTATTTCCCCCAAAAAAGTCAGATTATTCCTTTAAATTAAGGTTCATTGAAAGGGCAAAATGCAGCTTTTCGAGGCTAGTGTGTGGCTTAGATGCCATTTTAATGTAAAGTCACCATAACGTCCTTACGCATCCTACTAAACTGCAGGACAATGGAAAGAATATTTTATATTATCTATTTTACAGGCAAGATGTGTTTACAAGAAACTTTATCTGCAGCCTGCAGCCGTGATGCGGTTGTAAATCTGCGGACACGTTGCGCCTCGTCAGGCACGTAGCCTGCGAGTGAAATATGCGAGACTCAGCCTGTAACAGAACCATCCATGAAAGAGTTAGTGTCTTTCCAGGGAATAAATCCAGCCCACTTCAGTCTTGCAGCCTCCTCTTCCTCCTCCTCCTCCCCCTCCTCCTCGCCAGTGAGGGCTGCACAGCTGGCAATTTACAGACACATAACGCAGGGAGTAATTGGCTGCTTGGTGGACCACTGCCCCGCAAATTGGACCCCGTGTCTGATGGAGGAGATGAATTAGCACAAGTACTGGGACATTAATTCATCTTGTGTCTGTGAGGGGGGTTCAGTTTATGAACCTCTGGATCACCTAAAAACTGAAGACCAAGCCTCCCCTCTCCACTGGAACCGTTATAACCTCCTCTCACACTAGAAACATAAGGTAAGGCAGCTTTGTTAATAGTTTGCAATCGTGATTTAGCTGCAAAACTCACATCTTTGTAGAGGATTTTACTGTAAAACTCCTTAACCTGTAAGAAGAAAGTAACAAGCTGCATTCAATACTCAGTCT